TGAGAAATGTAATTGTGTTGTATACCTACAATGTACCAATAAAAGAATTTAATTTAAAAAAAACCAAAAAAAACAAATTACAAGTGTGCCCACCATTAATTGGACAATAATAAATACTGAGAAATGTCATGGTCCCCTTCAGCAATATTTACAATTAGGTCACCTATAAATATTGCTGAAAGGCTACAGATGAAAGCTCCTGGTTCTCCCTGCTGCAGAACTCAGCAGGTCCACACGTAAAAGGTGCCACTTTTTGCCTGACTCTCTCATTGGCAATCTCCAAGAAAACACATCCAATGATGTTTCCCCACTTTGTTTTGTTCCCTCTTTCCTCCTAAGCTTATAGTATCCATGGACACTGCTTAAACTCAATGGCTGGCTGGGCACTACCTAAAAGTCAATTTCTTTCTCTAGTCATTCTACAGATTTTCACCCTGACTGGTAGAGATCATTGTCTTTCCTACATACAAATAATCTCTCTATTGCTTTAATTTAAACCTACTTGCTACTTACTGATCCCCCATGAAGAGAAGAAAGCTAATTTCCAACAGAAGGAAATCAAGTGATGACCTTTATGCTAAAACATTTGATTTACCCTCTCTTTGCCTCAATCACCTCCTTTGTAAAACAGCAATAATAGTATGTACCTCATTGCATTGTTGAGAAGATTAGGAATGAGAATACTTCCTAAATCTCACCACACCCTGTCCTTCTTGGACACTAAAGTCACTTGCACTAAATGGTCATTCTAGTAGTCCATGTAGTCTTAAGATTCAGACACAAGAACTGTGAGGGCCCAGCTGAGCGTCCCTAATCTGAAAATTAGAAGTCTAAAATGTTCCAAAACTTTTTGAGAGCTGAGATCATACCATAAGTGGAAAATTTAATGCAAAAAATTATTTTAAATATTGTATGAACAGCTATATGCATAAGGTCGCGTGAAACATAAATGAGTTTTGAGGTTTGACTCAGGCCCCATCCTCATAACATCTCATTATGTTTATACAAATATTCCAAAATACCCCCAAAATCTGGGCCCCTTCTGGTCCCAAGCATTTCAGGAAAGGGATACCCAACCTGTACTTTAAGGTGCTGATATGGAGCCATGCAGCTCTTTATACCATTACATAAAGTACTATACACATAACCCAAATGATATTTATTGTCCTGAATAGATAGAATCTCTGGGGTTATCTGAAACATTTGCAAATTTTTAAAAATTCCTCAATCAAAATAGCACCCTTGTTTAGGTGATCAAGTGACTCTAATGAGATAGACATGAGAACAATGCAGGGTGCACTGTCAGTTCTGTCACGAGCATACTTACACTACGGGGTTTCCAGACACTTTTAAACATACCTTAGAGTACTGTGGTTTCCCATTTTCGTAGTGAATCTCCACATAATCAGAAGACAGCAAACCACTACCAAGAGAAAAAAAAGAGAGTGATTTTGGATCTAACACAGTAGAGATGGATGTGACAAATGGACATGAGGGACATGCAGACCACAAATAGTTTCAGTCCACAGTTAGTACAAAACAGGTTACCATCAAGAGTCTCAAACACTGTCCAGAAAGAAATCATTTCTCAGTCTGTTAAAAGAAAAATAGAAGACATAGACAACTTAAGGGTAACTCCTTATACTCAGCATCTAATTGCTATGAGATGTTATAAAAAATAGTGATTATTTAAAGTTTAAAAATTTATTATAGTACAAGACACGTTGTCACTAATCCCCTGCAAAATGCTGCCCCTCACTTCAGACACATTTATGTCATAACTCTTGCCGCCTTCTGAAGCAGCTCTGGAAGTCCTCTTTCATGAGAGTCTTTAGTTATGCTCTTGTGGCTGCCTGATGTTCTGAATCCATTCAAGACTTTTACCTTTTATGGTTATTTTGACTTTGGGAAAGAGCTAGAAGTCATACGGTGCCATATCCAATGAATAAGGTAGATGAGGACACAAGGTACTGTTTTTAAGAGCCTGCCTTTCCATTCGATGGCACTTGGCATCAGCATTCTCTGTTTTTTTATCATGTCTTATAAAGATACTCATGAAAGAGGACTTCCAGAACTGGTTCAGAAAGTGAAAAGAACAACTGGATAAGTCTGTTCAAAGCAAGGGAGAGTATTCTGAGAAAGATTAATGGCAATGTGTCTTTTACTGCAATCCTTTTTTCTTTAAATATTCACCACATATTTTGATCAACCCTTGTATGCCAATTAAAATGGAACAAACTAAGCTACAAGTAGGGGAAAGATAGGCCCTATCAAAAAAAATCCTACAATTATACTCTAAATAGTTGAAATTTCATAAAATGTAATCACTGAGGAAGAACAAGCATCACAACTATTTTCAGGGTAGGCTGGATATTAAGCATCTGCAGCTACTCAGATCTTATCACCTAAGAAGCCACAGGCAATATGTAAACAAATGAGTGTGTCTGGATTCCAATAAAGCTTTATTTATAGATACTGAAATTTTAATTCCACACAATTTTAGTGTGTTATGAAATATCATTCTGTTTCAGATTTTTTTCCAACCATTTAAAAATGTAAAGAACATTCTTAGCTTGCAATCTGTACAAAAATAGGTATGGCTGGATTTGGTACTGTGCGCTATAGTTGTCTGACTCCTAACATAAAATAATGGTTAGGAACACAGATTTTGAGACAGACAGAGCAAGACATAAAACCTCAGCCCAGATCCTTATTTGTGGTGTGACCATGGGCAAGTTCCCTGACACGATGGCAAATGAAGATGTTCAAAAGTGTGGGGCCGGGGATTTAGCTCAGCGGTTCCGCCACCTGACTCAAAGTGCAAGGTCCCGAGTCCGATCCTCGGTACCAAAAAAAAAAAGTGTGACCCTTGCAGGACACTGTGAATGTTAAATGAAGCCATAAACATTGAGCCCTTGACCCATAATACAGCACCAAGGGCTCACTATCGGGCACTGTGGCTGTCACTTTCATTCCTTTAACTCAAGCCCTTAAAATGCACATTTCCCTATGTAATGTGGAGAATAAAAATTTGTGTCTCCTGAACGGCCCTAGATTAGGGCCTCTGGATTCCTGTTTGGGCTCTGCCACTGGGAATGATGATAACAAATGATAATTTGCATTTATTGACTACTTACTATGCCTGGGCATTGTCTGAAGAGCTACAAAAGCATTAATTTATTCAATCCTAATGGTAACTGATAGACAATCTCACCTAGTCACATACCCTTATTTTACATCTTTGTTTCCTCTTCTACATAATGAAGGGCTGGAGCAGAAGACTTTTCAAGTCTATTTCCACTCTGACATTCTGACTTTCTATAATTCTGCCTAATAGTAGGTTCTTTTGCTAGGAAACCTGGACACTTCCTCTTTAAGTGAAGAATAGGAAGATTCTATGATTTTGCATCATTTTTCAAGAGCCATACTGAGTACCTTCTAAAATGACCCAGTGAAAAGACCTGGAAAGGGATGAACTGGAACCAGTGTGCAGTTAACTGGAGGCCTCGTGTGTGCAACCAGCAACACAGAGATAAAGGATAAGCTTATACTTAGACGTGCTTTCCTCTTGAAATTGTGAATCAAATGCTTATCAACTACTGATTCTACAGCTGTAACTAAATTATAGAGGTCTACATCTCTTTTTTAAAAATCTAAGTAATGGTGAAAGTAATGGCAATACTTAACTCTCTATAATGGAAATACCTGTCAGGGGCAGAAATTTCTCTTACTGCTAATCCACTATACCAGCCAGCAGCTCTGTGAGTGCACACAAATAGGGCTGGGGGTGGGAACACTTCTCTAAAGAAATCTTCTGCAGCACTGCAAGCAGAGAGGTTTCTCCAGCTGTATCCTAACTGCATCTCTCTGTGGGTAATTCATTATTTTCAAATTTTTCAACCACAATCACTGGAGCATGTCTAATTGTTGGAAACAAAGTTATTTAGACCACTGTTTTTGCTTGTCATTGAAGGAAAGATAAAGGCATCCTAACCATTCATTATCAAATCTGATAAAGGTCACTTTAATTATTCTATTTCCTTTTTTTATAGAGACTCTTCACTCATGGCCAAACCTATTTTGAATAACTCCTGCATTTGAGACTCTCGAAGAAAAAAAATAGCTACTTTTCAGACACCAACAGGAGCACAGCCACCCCACCATTCCACTTCCTATAAGGAGCAGACACCCACATCTCCTACATTCTTTCTTTTTGTCTGACCACAGCCATAGCGGCACCCCAAGTGCCTGGCACACTTCACTGCCTGGTGCACAGCAGGCCTATGGCCCATGTCCACCAGTTGAGCAGACATCTTCCAGCACCTGCTACATCCTACGCCTGTACCACATGCTGGGAAAACAGAGTGAAGAATGCAACTCTCTCAAATGGAAACTGAGCAAAATCAGCACATGTACATAAGGCTGGCCATCCCCCCCTTAAATATTGTAATCTCCAAGAAAGTGAATGAATGCCTACTGAAATGTAATCTAATTAATTATAAAAGTGTTGAAGTAATAGGAGTTTTGATGATGGACAAGTAGCACTGAAAAGGAACACTGAAAATGATTAACTGTGCGGTCACGTTTGTCCTCAGCCAGGCAGAAAAGAACAGGTACTCCCTGTCGGTATGTCTGCAGATGAGCTGTCTGGCAATTGTTGGGGCAGATGTTCTGCAAGTCATCTTTGCACTCTTTAGTTTCCCTAGTAGAATTTCCTGTTGGAAACAATATTCTGACAAGCCAATACTGGTCGACTTAGTAATGTGCATGTAAACATAAACTGACATTTTACTTTGTTTATCGGCCAGTCAAATGCTTGGTTTAGAGGAACCCATCAAAGAGACTTTCAGAAGATAACAGGTTTCTCATGCAGGTTCTCTAGGGAAAGACCTTCAGAAGTGCAGGGATAAATGTAGGAGGGAAGTTCAACCAGATGGAAGAGGATGAAAGAACTTAAGTGAGGGAACTGAAATCCACTCACTCTGCACCTTCATGTGAATCTGCACCACAAAGTCATGAAAAAAACATGAACTCTAGATCAGGATAGATGCAATTTTAATTAAAATGTGGAGGATGAGGGTAATTACTTGAAGATGCTGAACTCTAAGAGCAAGAGAACACAAAGACTACTAAAAAATTGCAAACAAGCCAAAAATCAAGTAAATAAAGGGAACTGTGGCAGAAATAATGCTGTGCATCCACCAAATGCCATTCCATTTTTCCCTTTCTGGCAGAATTAAGATCACATTTAGCAGCTTCCTTGCAGTTGGGTTAGAGCAGGGGACTGGATTGTGGCTCTGAGAAATGGGAAAGTGATGTCTGTCCCTCTAGTGTGACCATTAAAATCCCTGCATGACCATCCAAGCTCCTTTTCCATGGCAAACCTGGGCACCACCTGTTGCAGATGGCATAGCTACAAGATGGATGCAGTTTATTCCTCCGACATTATTTGAAGAAGAGCTACCTAGAGGAGCCACTCAATATGCATTCAATCATAACGTGAGGGAAAGCTAAAATTTTAGGGTTAAGTCTCAGATTTCATGGCTAGTACCAAAACATTGTCTAAACTATCCTAATTCCAGGATTTATCACAAAGAAACCATTTAGAAATTTATGTTCATAGAGTTTCATAATCATCAGCAAAGACAGGAGGAGCTGTTACTACATCCGGACTGCTACTATATCTTCACACAATGAGAGAATCCTTGAATTTTTCATGTATCCAAACAAAACAGATAAATCAACACCCAAGTGGTCAAAACTCCCAAAATTTTATATCTACCATTACAAAAAGGCTCATTAAGGACAAGTCAAGAATCTCAGTAACTGGAAAAGGTACTTACAAACATTCTCTAGTGCCAAAAAAAACTTATTAACCAAGAAGGGTAAATAAATTCTAATTTTTTTGGAAAATAACTTGAATCCCTAACTTTAAGAGAAGAAAAGAGCCATATGCTTTCTTTGAGACAATCATGGTTAGGAAAGTTTGAAGGTGGACTAATCAAACAAAATAATTGCTGGGAAGGAGATACCATGGATTGCATCGATCAGTTAAAAAAAAAACTCCTAGGAAAGATGTATTATGAAATGCACTGAACCACAAAGGAAACTATTTGTTCTACATGAATTAAAAATCATTCATTTCCATGTTAAAAAAAAAAAAACAAGCTTCTCTAGAAGTCTTTTCTAGTCCTAAAATCTACGTTTTCTACAATTATTTGTTGAGCCCTCAGCCTGTGTCTAAAAAGGAGACAGAATTAGCTCTTCCTCAGGGCCGCGGGGGTCAATGAGGCAGCCCTTCCTGAGAAAGGGTAGGTACAAGTTTCAGAGAACAGCAGCAAGCACCAAGGCATGACAGCCTGGTGGCCAAACAATGAATCATGCTTCCCAGAGCATTTCTGGGAATGGAAAGAGGCCTATTAA